CCATTTCCCTCTTCTCTTCAAACAATCGCACGTAACAAATTCCTACACTCACTACTTTTATTACTTTTTTCGCTATAGTTATTGAAATCATCACTACCAACGCTTCTAGCATATCTGCTGTCGCCACTTGTTATACTACTATGTTTGCTTGAGCTCGATGTAGTAATATTAGAAACAGAAGCAATATCATTTTTTAATTTTCTAGTAAAATCCTCAAATGCTATGGCCTCAAATTCTTGGTCAGCTTGAACCGTAGAGACCAGCATTGAATCAATTCCACGATCCATCTGACCACGATAAAATTGTACCCAACCCAAATCTTCTAGATATTGTTCAACATCATCCGCCACGCGTTGTAGGGCATCCCAATCATGAGTGTAATAGTAGTTTACCGCTAACATATTGTGCAAAAATAGGCTAAACCTTTCAACAATATGCATCACACGTTCTTGTCGACGTAATGCTCTCTTTGGACCTGGCAATTCTGCAGCCAAGCCTGGAGGATCTGGTGGCGCGTTTATAGTGATAAGTTGTTTTGCATAATCAGTCTCTAAAGGGAATCGCCATTCATTTGCTAACTTTAAACGGTCCTCAGGTGGAATATCACGGCTGTATCGCACGAACCATAGCTGTGCTGTTACTGTATGCGGTCCTGATAAGGCCCGAAACAGATGATTTGTAGAAGATAAAAAGCGCAGATCTTTAGGATTATCGATACAAAAGATTACGAGGAAAAGGATTTCCGTTGGGAGAGAAGTTAATTGAATAGGAACACGTTGAACCATTTTGGCAAGTTTAATTTGCCAACTTTTGTTCAATTAGTTGTTAGTTCTAACAGCATGTAATTTATGTATGTGTCGATAAAGTTTGACTGTCCCGTAATAGGGAGTAGTGAGTGTAGGAATTTGTTACGTGCGATTGTTTGAAGAGAAGAGGGAAATGGATTTGAATTGTACGTGCAACGGACGTAGAAACTAAATATACTAAGTAATACTGAATGTGTTAAAATTTTAAATGATTGGCTCCTTATGTATATAATTACTAAAAATATTTCATAAACATTTACACAAACAAAGTATGCACCCGCGACTAGTGGCCCGCATTAGAATTTTTATATGTAGGTTCAGCATTACTATATTACAGAATTCTTGTTATCTGGTTTTGTAGACAACACATGTTGATAAGTTTATATTGCAAATGCAATAAATAAAAACATATCGATATGGTGAGGTTAAAAGTAGAAACCAAGGAATTTGACCTTTAAAAAAATTAATACTGTACATAAACTTATCTTGACCTATCTCGATAATTAAAATTGAAAGGTTTAAAGTTTCTTCTCGATTTTAAATTATCGAAAAAATTGGCTGTTAAAGTTATGTACGTACTAATTTTCTTTTATAAATAAAATTCCTTGGTTTCTACTTTTGGCCGCCCATACAGTATATCTTCGGATGTCTTGTATATTAATTCGGGACTTAAATTTAGTAATTTAGTGATCTAATTTAGGTAGACCTTTTTATAGACCAACCAATACATGCTGTATGTAGAGCAAATAATATATCGAATGATTATTTTTTTAGGTCTTTAATTAACATTAACCCATCACAGTACGTATCACATATGATCATAGGTTGAAGATTATAATTTCTAGCGCTAGCAAGAATATCGATATAGTAATTAGTGATCCTGACTGTTAAAAATTTTCAACCAACGAAGCCAATAAAATATAAAATAATAGTCTTATTATTATCATTATTATACAAGCCTTTCATCCAATATTTCTTTATAGAAGCGCGTATAAATTTCCAAAATATGTTCGCCACTTCATATTTTGCTTTCAACATTATTTTTATGACTACTACAGGGACTAGAGATATCTTGCTTAAACAGGCTAGTTCGTGCTTTGAAACTCGCTGCCCTGAAGCACGCAAATACAAACACCGAATTTTAAACTATGCTTTAAACTTGTACATGTTTAATACCCGTAATTTTTCGGAAAATAAAAAATTGGCTAGCACTAACATAACCCTAATCCTAAATCGGGCTAATATATCAGTGAAATGACCTGTCGGTAAATGTCTTCCGGGAAATTGAACTACAATAGCAAATAGTAACTTAATAATTTTCTTTTTTCTCAATAGACTGGTTCTAGACCCTTGGTACTATATTTAATGTGGTAAATTACGGTATTTGCTCGTAAGATTGATTTGAACTCAATTCGAGCACAATTTTGTCCGAAGCGGAGTGGAGGATTTTACTGTTCAGACTATAGATGGGCAAAGTAAGCAACATATTATTATTATTTTTAATTATTTCCGACAATTTTTTACATAAATAATAATAAGTAAAGATGCAAAATTCAATCCGAACAACGAATTATTGAGTTTAAAATTTTACTTCAGATTACATTTATAAGTAATGATCGATCATACATTATAAACAATAATTGGCAATAATACTTAAGTTTAAGCACTGGGTAAAAAAATAAGTAATTATTACTTACATTACATTATTACCTTGACTATT